TTGTTTACTACATGTGCAGGCTTTTCTTTCTGCTTTACAGTTCTACACAATGGTTGTGCTATACCTATCCTTCACACAAGTCTATAAGGTTGATTTACTGAAGGAGTATAATGCTTTCTGAACTTAGTGAAAAGATTAAGTTATGTTCACTTATAAACTGAAAGTAAAGAAACAAAATTGCTGATTGGCTGGCTTTTTATGGCAGAACTGTGTAAGTCTCTTCTGCCATAATAGCTTCTTTTTAGTAATTTTTTTATCTGTACACTGAGCTGCCCATATTTAGAGTAATGAAAGGGCATGTCGAGATGAAGCAACTCACGTGTGCATGTGTGGGAGTTACATCATCATGTGTGGGAGTTAAATCATCATCAGCCATCATGTGGCTGAAGACACAAAACCTGGAAGAGGACCAAGCGAAGATGGAAGCACCACAAAGGGAGGAGTGCAGCAGTGGAGGGGTTGTTTTGACAGGTAAGTCTGGCATAATGCACTAATAAGCTGTGCAAACTAACACATTATGGCTAAAAGCTCCTTTTTCATTTACCTGAATTTGACATGAAATCAGCAGACAAGTTCCCTGTTAAGTCTCTACAGCAGAGAATGGAGAGGGATAAGCAGCACAAACAGACATTTAGGTGTGCTGCAGAAGAAGGAGCTTGCTAGTAGGAGGAGAGAGTAGTGAGATTGAGAGATGAGCTCATCAGTGTGCTGCTTCTCATTTCACTGTTCCGTCACAGGGTGAGGGTGGGAAAGGGAAATAAAATCTGCAGCAGAAAAAAAATCATGTACAGCTGTGCTGTAGGACAGAACTGTGTAAACCTTGGGACTGGATGGGAAGATCTATACCGGTAAATGCCTGGCAGATACAAGTATTTCATCTGTGTATTTAGCTTTTTACCTGGAGTTCAGCTTTTAAAGTGATTCAGAGTAAAAAAAAACGTGAAAGTGCAATCTAGTAAGAATGTGAACGTCATAGCAAAAATTGCATGAAGTAAAACACTGCAATAAGAACTAAAAATATACACTCACAGCAATTCTCCTTTAACTACATTATTCCCATGTTACAATATGTGTCTTAGCATGTTCAATCCCTTTTTATTTGTTTGTTGTTCTATATATGATCGTAGTCAATTGACTATAGAAATGGACACATACAGTAAATTACAATACCAATGAGACTATAATCAGCACTTGACTTCTGTCTTACCTTTGAGATGGTTAGAGGTTCTCCAGTCTCCAGCCCTCCTTTTAGAGCGAAACCCCATGGAGCTCCACCTTGAAGAGTTACCTTTAAGTATAAGGAAGCAACCCCCAGCTGGTTGGAGGATATTTTCCAGTCCATGTTGTCCTTTGCCTTTAAACAGTCAACATTGTCCTTAGACAGTTTGCGAAGGTGGACTATGGGCTTGAGGATTCTCCATTAGATGTCCTGAAAATGAATGCAATCGACCACATAAGCTGACTCTCATGCCCTCAGGAGTTGATTAAATATAATTCTCGACTTCTTTCCATTTAAAAGTCTTTCTCCCAAAGGCAGGTCCACAGAAAAAAAAAAAAAAACCTATTTGCTTTGCACAAGACAAAAACAACAAACTTTTGAAAAGTGCGCATGCAGAACGCTTGACATGTAAAGTAGTGTTTGTTTTTGATTGATGATGCTTCTTCTCCCTCTCCCCCAGACTTACCATTACAATAGGCTATCTTTTCAGTTCATTGCATTCAAAGAATGAGATCTCTTTGCTGTTTTCGAGCTGCATGGCTTTCTAGTGCGTTGAGCTCTAACTTGCTCCTGCAGTCTACGGCCCTTGGAATTTCCACTTGTTGCTGTGAATGTAAAATTCTTATCAGTACAATAGGAAAACAGGCAGGACTTATGCACGGATCAAACCGAAACGCTGCAGGTGGATTTCCTAAGAGCGGAGGAAGTGGACGTGTTAGGCAGATCTGTGAATTCCTCCTCTTTCTCCAGTACTTCAGTAGATCAGATTATAACTGCATTGGGAGAAGAGAAGGGAAGGGGGGGGGAGTGAAAAGTGGAGGGTGTGAGCAAAGGATTAGTACAAGTCATGCTGATTTTACACAGCAAGTACCCAAATGATATGTGGCTAAGAATAGAAAGAGATGCTTGAGAAGTGAGTGCTTCAGCACTTCGTGTATCAGAAATCTTGGCACTATGGTACATTCTAACTTGCAGTATCCGCTCGTGAATTCAAGTTATGATATCAGTTAATATTGTGATACTTGCTTGGACGAGGCTATCAAAAAGACACAGGGTCCTAGTGCAGAATGTGAACAAGGCACCTTCCTGATTCATTCAAAGACTCCGGGATAAACAAGTATTGTCTAAATATAAGTCATGTGTATTCTTAACTGAACTTTGGTGTGCTTTGTGTATGTCTTCCAGATCTGTGCAGCAACTCAGTGTGAAACTTTGCCTTTGTGCAGGAACTTCCTTCCTTCTCTCCTTGATCAGGGTGACTGGTCTTGTATCCGCCCCCTTCTGTGCTTTCCTGCAGGCAGCCTATAGTGGGTGTGGCCTGCTGGGTCCCTTCCACATCTCTGCCTGTCTGTTCAGGTTATGGGCAGCACAGTGATGATGTCACTGCCACTTATTATGTAATAAATGAGTTTGCAAAGGCATTTGGTGCACACAATGTGGATCTATGTCACTTGTGGCTTCTGAGGAATACAATATATTTAAATGAAAGATGTTCCTGGAGTTCAGCTTTAATACTTCCGTAGCAACATGTAGGTTTGGATGTGATCATAATGCCAACACCTCTGCAGCAACAGATCACTTATAATAGTTATGAGCAATGATCCCAACATGCCTCTGTCTCTGGGAGTCATGCCTGTAACTGTCAGTCTTGCAATGCCTCATGGGACTTGTAGTTCCACAACAACTGTCCTATGCTTTTGGTACTATGAAGTGCTATGGAGTGTTCTAGGCCCAGGAGTAGATTGAATCAGGTCTGGCCTCATTGGTAGACCACAGCTGTCACTGACAGCCAGCAGTTGCAGCCTTACATGTCTGAACAGGTCCAGACAGTGGGTTCCTGTCGCTGGGGTCACAGGTGTATGCGAACAGCCGCAGCGGGAAAGCTTGCACAAGGCAATGACAGGCTGACAGGCGGTGCAGTTGACTGCCACTGTTTACATGTATCTGCATATCCAGGGCTTACCTGCAGCTAGCGGCACGTGACTTAATCTGTCTGCATTTAGGACTGCTCATCTGTCCTTACCCACAGGTAACCAATAGATGTGCAGATACATGCCAACAGTGACGGACAGCTCCTGTCAGCCTGTCATTGCTTTGTAAAGGCTGCCGCAGCCTAGATCCTTTGGGCAGACACAGGATGTTGAAACTCTGGTCCTTTTCAAGGCTGCCAGAGTGGGGTTCTGTTTCTGAAACACATATATCATTCCTACTTAAAGCTGAACTCCATATTTTTATGTAATGTACATTACATGTATGTAATATATATTTTTTTTTTAATTGAAAGGCATAAAAACAATATTAACTGTGGAGTTGCCCTAAGGCCAGATGGCAGTGCTGTAGAGCTGAGAGACTCTTGGTTGAGAAAATCTAAAACAGAGGTGGGCAAAAATTGGTCCTCCAGCTGTGGTGAAACTTCATATCCCATGATGCATATGTCTCTAGGAGTCATGCCTGCGGCTCTGAGAATCTTGCAATGCCTCATGGGATTTGTTGTTCTACTGCAGCTGGAGAGCCAGAGTTTGCCCACCCCTGAATTCATGCTGTCATTGTTGTCATTCTGCTCTAGGTTCAAACAGGGCAAAGGGGTGTTAAAAACAGGAACCATCCATATTGCTGTGGCCACGATGCTTCTTGGTGTGGCCATTTTAATTTGGCATGTCACGCCAAACATGCGCATTGAATGGGCAGCAGGAGAGTGACAGCTACGCTAATAGCGTATATTCTTAGAAGCTGCACACTGTGCGCGCCGGTTTAAGTAGTAACCAGCACACGCTGTATGCAACTTCTAACAGCATGGGAGACGGGAGGCTGCACTTGTTGGTGGATCCAGGAATCAGGTGAGTATTAGAAAAAAAAAAAGTTTTATTTTATGTTCTATTCTTAGTTCTATAATGTCATTGTAGTACTTTCAGGTGGAATACAGCTTCATAACATATCAGCTAGGGAACTACAAGTCCCAGCATGCCCTCATTGCCCCTGTACAACAACCAGATATTGCCGTTCCCTGGGTGATATGTGTGTGTGTGGGGGGGGGGGGGGCGTAAAAAAAATGTCTGCCCCGGGAGCCCATAACTCTGGTTACGCCACTGGGCCAGAGCATCCCAGGTTGCTAACAGCTGAGTGGCACGCTGTGGCTTGCGTCCCGCTTAGCTCCTGGCAACCAATGATGTCAGTGAGCTGAGCGAGACTCCAGAGCTCCTGACAGCGTGGTCCGGCATCCGCCGCCACACAACAACCCCTCGGACGACAAGTGAACCAGCGAGTGACCAATACCTGTCAGCACCCCCCTTCTAGAACTAAATCACCTCAGGCAACAATTACCATAGGGACGGCTCTGGAAGCAGGTGAGATGGGGTGCTGTATTCCATCCCTGGCTCCGTGGGTGACATCACAGGGACTGTAAAGGGAGTTTCCAGCAGCCAGGTAAATATACAGGGACAGGGGAAGCTGAATGTTTAGTTTTCTGCAACAGATGAACGTTATTTATTTACTTTTTTAGCAATAAATAAAAATACATAATACAAGCACGTGATCAGATGGCAGCAAGATATACTAGCTACCTGTAAAAAGTCATCCATGTAAAACCTGAACCATTTCCAGTTGTGGAAGTTAGAGGGAGGCTGAGAACTACAGCCGAAGTAGAACAAAGTGAGTGGGGATGGGCGGATCGATTTCCACCCTCCAGGCTTGGGATGTCTCCATGGCAACAGAGAAGCGTCTTTTCTAAACCGACCGTGCAAGCTGGAGTGGGGGTGGGCACTTCATCTCCCCCCTTACTGCCATAGACAATAAGGAGCCCTGGTTCGGTCCGAGTATCGGAGTGACCCAATCATCACCGGTGAGCCTTCATGTTTCTGTGTGCGGGGATGTGGCTGATCGCTGGCAGCATTGTTCTGCATTGTGCCCGAAAGGCGGCAGAAGAATGGCGTGCCTGGATATCAAATGACTATCCTGTGCACCTGTACAGGGGGATCGAGCTGGTGGCTGGTGACGGGGGCACTGCAAAGTTACTGGCTGTAGTGAAAGCAGCCCACTATCATCAGTCCCATACTTTATTTGTGTTTGTTTTTGTTACTTTTAATGTACTTTTATTGTATCAATGCAGAATTTGCAGCTGTCTCCCTTCAGGTGTCACCTGATACATCTGCTACTCCAAGCCAGTCTAGTTGAAAGCTCAGCACACACATTACAATCAGATTGTACAACCTCCTTTAGATCTAACAATACAAGGGTCTGCTGATTGAATACAAATGAATTTGATAGTTTAGCTATTCCCTCTTATTGCATAATTCTGGTAATCTGAAGCTTGTTGTATGGTCAGATTGTAACATGTATGGTGACCCTTCAGCTGGCCATATACTACAGTATGTAAATTTTGTCCGATTCTTGATATAACGGGCAAAATTCGCACAGTGGGTTCCACTGTTGCCAACCTTTCGGCTGGCATCCTTCAAAGTGGAGATGGAAGGATCCAGATGGAAAATCTTCAGCCGAACGGAGCTTGCAGCCAATCAGCTCTGTTTGGGTATTCGGACAGCAGCCTCCAGCCGCTGTCAGAATACCATGAAAACAGCTAAGGATTCCTCCATTCATACTTGCAAGCGTTGATGGAGGAATCTGTTATATTTTCTTCAGCCCGCAATTTGAGCAAAGAAAATACAGTAGTGCATGGCCAGCTTTGGTTCGAGGTACTTTGTGTTTTAAGAGGATCTTTATCCCCCCAGGGCTTAATTTGCATTTAACCCCCACTTAACTTGTGCACTGGATTGAGGTCAGATTGCAAGCTCGCCTGCCCAGCTGCCGTTATCCACTGATCCCCCCGCCGCATTTCAGGGCCCATGCTGCCATCTCGAAACGAGAACCAGCATTGGGACGGGAACAAGACCTACGGTATGTCTGTGCATGCGCAGGATCTCGCAGTATGCCTCATGGGATGTGTGACGTAGACATTCTGTCAGCCTTGCCTAGGCAAGAATGAAGGACGTGAAGCCATAAAAAAATTAAAAAAGGTGTTTACTGTTTAAAGAAGAAATTTTACCTGCAATTGTGTAAGAGGGAGCAGGTGAGGGGAAGATGTTTAAAGAAGAACTTTGAGCAGAACTTGTATTAACACTTGCCGTGGGGCTACCGTCACACTGCAAGGGTTAACTGGCCGTTTTTGTCTAGGTGCTAAAATAAAAAAGTTATACTCACCCGACCTTCCAGCCTGGCTTCCCCTCCACTGCAGCTGTCTAAGGATTCTCCGGTCATCTTGTTCTATGCACAGTGTATAGAACCTGAGGAAGTCAAGGGACGTATTATCGCTGAAGGAGACAGGCTGTAGGGAGGTTTGTGACAGCTGGCCAGCTCTGTGGTTCTGGCGAGTATAAGCTTTTTATATTAGCACCTAAAAACCCTTGTAGCTTGGGGGGTAGCCCACTGCAAGGGTTACATTTTGCCCAGAGTTCTTCTCTAAATAAGACTGCTTTAAAGAAGAACACCAGGCAAATCAAATCTTAACCCTTGCAATGGGGCTACCCTCGCACTGCAGGGGTTAAGTGCTCGTTTTGTCTAGTGGGGGGGGAAAGTTATACTCACCCGAACCACGATTCCGGATTGTTCTTAGACTGGTCCCTTCAGTCTCATTCCCCCCCTCCTGCAACCTAAAGTCCTGTGAGTCATTACCTTCTATACAGTGTATTGGGCAATAGGATGCCGAGGGACATACCATCGCTGGAGCGTTGAAATGTAGTGTGGTAGTGTTTTATTACTAGTGTAAATGTTTTTATTAAGGCTTTGGAAAACATTAGGGGGTATCAGTGTAACATCATGGCTGCTTGGTGTGACAAAGGCTTGGTGTGACAAACTATGACCAACACCCCTCCCTCCAGACCCGATCAGTTGTGGCAGGGGCTATTTCACGCTTGGCAGCTACACATCTCCAAGGAGCCGGGAATGACCCTAAATGCTAGTCGTAAACTAATTGTGGGTGTGTGTTATATCATCAATTAAACAATTGTATGTAAAAACAATCAGCATGAGATGACATTGCATCATTAACAGATAGATAGTAAGGTAACAGGTAATGGAAGGCTTACATAAGCATATCTCCTAGTAGAAAGTCCAGGTACAACGTAGACATAGGGTAGTAGGTGTAAGTTGTATTCCTCGCATATTCGCAAGAAAATATGTAATGATCGCAAAGGTCTGATACGTAATAAACAGACTCAGGAATCTGTAGTTGTCGCTGCAGGAGCAATAGATGGGGTCATGTCACTTGAGTCAGGCATCTGGTGTCTGTCAACCAACAGGCCCATTGTGAGGTGAAGGTGCGAGTTTTCAAATTAGCTTTGGCAAATAAAAATTCAAAGTGGGCATGCGTGTTTAATATTTGTACAACCACACTAAGTGAAGGAGGATCCGATTGTTTCCAGGCCCGTGCTATTGCTAGACGAGCAGCGATAAGAATGTGGGAGACTACAGTTCTACAATCTGTAGGTCAATCATCCATTCCTATCCCCAAGAGGGCAAATTGTGGGGACCCAATACAGGGGAGCTGAGTAACTTCAGAAATTAAGGTGAAGACGTTACCCCAAAAGGATCTGATGGAGATACAAGACCACCAGACGTGTGTCAAGGAGCCCACATTCCCACAGTCCCTCCAGCAAAGCGGTGAGGATGAAGGATACATATTGGTGAGCTTCTGTGGCGTAAAGTACCATTTGTGTAAAATTTTCTGGAGGGATTCCCAGTGGCTCAGACATTTTGACGTTTTCAAGGGCCAAGAGATCACTTTATACCAGTGTTCCGGGGGTATGGAAAAGTGTAATTCATCCTCCCACCACTTCATAGATGGTAGTTTATCCTGAGTTATGGGTTCACTAAGTAGATTATAAAAGAAGGAGATCCCCTTTTTGGGCAAAGAACTAGCGCAAAAAAACTGTATGCCTCTCCTAAGAAGGGTTCCTCCAGTAACACTTACAGATTGCAGATAATGTCTTATACGGAGGTATTTGTAGAAATCTCGGGCTGGAAGGGCATATTTGCTACGCAGCTCATCAAATGATAGTATGTGGTGATCAGCATATAAAGCATTCATATGGGTAAGCCCCAAACTTTCCCAGCTCAGAAGTTGCATGTCATCTAAGACAAGCTCCAAAGTGAGCAAAGGTATGTGTCTAAGAAGGGATTCGCTACCTAGACGTGACGGAAAGCCAAAGGAATGCCAGACGCGTAGTGTTGCTGTAACTGTGTCTAGGAAACCTTTAGTGGGGGGGTTGTTGAGAATGGAGGAGCATAATAGAAGTTTGAGGTTTTTATGTAAGGCAGCACTTTCAATTTGGGACCATAATTTGTCAGGGTGAGGTGACCACCAGAACTTAGCTTGAGCCAACAAATTTGCTCTATAGTATTTAGCGATATCAGGGGCTCCCTTACCTGCGTAGGCTCTAGGTGTGTGAAGGCAGAGTCTTGATATTCTGTGTTTCTTACCATTCCATATAAAAGTCTCAAGGATATTCTGCAGTTTTTTTAGATAAGAAGGCAAAAGGGGAATAGGCAGAGCTCGGAACATATAAGATATGAGGAAGAACAAACATTTTAAGAAGGTTAATCCTTCCTGCCCAAGAAACAGTAGGTCTGTTCAATTCCCTGCATATCCTGGACACTTTAAGCAGGAGTGGAGTATAGCTATAATTAAAGAGGTTGGAGCTAGGGGTAATTCCCAAGTATGGGAGGGTGTGAGAGGGAGCCCAGGAGAATGGGGAGTTAGCAGTAATAATGGATTTAGTAGTAGACGGAATATTGATGGCCAACATGTGGGATTTAGAGTGATTGGTTTTATACAAGGAAGCTTTGCTGAATCTCATGAGGATTTCCATAACCGCTGGTAATGAGGTCAGGGGATCAGCCATAGAGATTATGACATCATCTGCATATAACCCTATTTTGTGTGTTTGTTGGCCAGCAGATATTCCGCATACATCGGTACTCTCACGGATAGCAGCAGCCAAGGGCTCCATCAATAGTGCAAAGATCAAGGGGGACAGAGGGCAGCCCTGTCGAGTACCATTAGTAATTTGAAAAAGTTTGGTGGTAAAAACTGGACAGTAGTCCCGATGTTCTTACTCTCGCACTGGGTTGTGAGTACAGAGCATCAATGGCTGAGTCCAAGAAACCCACAATACCGAATTTATGCAATACAGCTCTCATGTACCCCCAATGTACTCTGTCAAAGGTAGGGTCGCCACCTTTTCTTCAAGCAAAACCCGAACACACTCGAGCGACACGCGGACATTTTTTGGGGAGAACAAGTCCTTGCTTATGTAAATGTAAATTCATATGTAAATATCACAGTTGAGACTATTTTCAGAGGGTGGGCTAGTAGTCCCTATCTTAATTTTGGTTGCCCCTGTCTGCCTGACATCTTGTGTCCGGGTTTCTGCTGCCATGAAACCCGGACGGAGCATTCCAACCGTAGTCAAAGGCCTTCTCTGCATCAAAGGAAAGAAGCAGAGAAGGCTCTCCCGATCGCTTTGCGATTTGTAGAAGATCAATCATACGCCTAGTCCCATCTGGAGCTTGTCGGCCATACACAAATCCCACCTGATCCGGATGAATCAGACCAGGAAGCACCCGTAATAGTCGATTAGCAATAAGCTTAGCATAAATTTTAACGTCTGTGTTGAGTAACGAGATAGGGCGGAAATTGGCTGGGTCATCCGTAGGTTTGTCAGGTTTAGGAATCGTAATGATGGTGCCTTCAAGGGATTCTTTAGGGAAAGAACCCGCAGCTGCCGCTTCGTTAGCAATGATACATAAGTGAGGGGCCAAGATGGAAGAGAAAGTTTTATAATATTC